AAGCTCCCCTGTCTGATACGGTCTGGATTTTTACCCCATTTTCCTTAGTAAAACTCTACAGAATAAGTCTCAGGGAAGGAGACAGAGACCCAAACTGTCAGTATATGCAGGACAGGATGTCAAATCACACCTAGGAGCAGGCTTGTATTTTCTTCTGCTCTTAAAGTTATTGAGGGAATGGAAAATAGAAAAAAAAAAAAATGCAGCAAGACGGCACGCTAAGGATAACTCCAGAGATGGTAAATGCAAGTCTACCAAACACACGGAAACAACTGCAAGGAAATAGCAGAATTTTTCAAACAAAGTTGCCTGGGGAGCAATTTTTCTAAGCTTACAGTTAGCTTCCAAGTGTGTTCCCTCTGCTGAAGGGAGCATGTGCTTAACACATGTGCTGGCTCGGGATTAGGCAACTGACAGTTGTGGGTATTGCAGAATATGCTGACATTCCCAAGCAGCTCCACTGGAAAGGGATTATATATCCCACTGGTATCAGGCTGAGAGAAACCCTGGGAATAACGAAATTGGCATGTGCGGGTAACCGGTCGCTTAGAACTGCAAGCTTTGCACGCTTCTATCACAAACGCTCCTCATCCCATCCTCGTACTCAGCTGCCAAGCCCAGGAGCAATGAAGGTCACCAATTGCAATGAAAGCCTCCCCTCCAAGCAATAGAACAGCTTTTCTGGCCACCAGCTGTACCAGCTCACCACCGGACCCCCACGATCCCACCAGACCCCTGCCAGTGAAGCAGGATGCTGCCTGCCCAGCTCCTGGATGGGAAGGCAGGAGCTCCTGGATGGTGCTGGCAGCGCGGTGCCTGGTGCCCGGCTTCTCTGATCCCCACTGCGCCAGCAGCTCGCCCTCCGACAACAGCGTTTCGAAGATGCCGGGAAAGAGGAGGCGATTTCGCGTGAGAACTTAACGCTGGAAGTCCCAACCACTTCTGACCATTGCAGCTCCTGCTGCGCTTTCCACGAGAACAGTTCATCTCCTGGCCAAACTCCAGTTTGTGTAACTGCATCTATTGGGTAATTATACTTTCTTAAATTGTCCCAGCAGTTTCAATTTGCCACGGTGCTATTCACTTCCTTTCAAGATGCCATGGCGTGTTACAGCGTGCTGACAAGCAGCTGTTACGTTTTCACCCAAGCAGTGACTGCGTGGCAGTGGTGGGCGAGAGCCATTCCCGTGTGTGCATCGTGTGCTTGCACGCGGTACCAGGACTGTAAAATGCCTTGGGGTTCCTTAGGGGTGAGCAATGCGTGCTACAGAAGCGTAGGGTAATGCTTAGCTAACAAATAGCAACGTAACTCCCTGCGATGTAGCTGGGATGTTGTGGGCAATTTTTTTTTTGAAATTGAGTATGACCTTGTAAAAAGCGTCTCCCTCTGGTGGGTGAACAGAGTATCATAGCTCAACACAAATGAAGTGAGAACGACTATAAATTCTAGACTGTGCACTTAACACACAGTAACTGCCACAATTTGACTTACTGCAATTGAAAAAATCAGCAATACAGACAAGAGAGGCTGATAGCAAATGCGCCATCTGGAAACCTCTGTCCAGGCAGATGCCACCACTGCATTGTGTGCACACCCCACCTGCCCTGCATCTTCAACTCCCTCTGCACCCAATGCGCCAATGATCAGACTTTTTTTGTTCATTTGTTTGACAATCCAGGCTTTTATCCTGCTTATCCAGCTTCCTACCCATGCCTTAAAAGTAAGCGTGAGGCAGCCATCCCTCATTTCCTCTACCAAACCACTGAGGAATCCTGTAATATCAGGATTTTATTCCAGAGAGGGATAAAACCTGTTACCTTCACAGTGGGTGACTAGCACAGTAGCGTTCGTGGGTACCCTATGAGTGCCCTCCAACAGCAGATGAGGATAGCTCAGCTCCAAGGGTGCTATCACTGCGAGATCGCTTGGATCACCACTGACTCCTGTACAGAGAAACCCAGTGCCTGAAGCACCTCCGGATTTGCTACCTCAGCCATTCATTTTAGACCACCTGTTTCCTCCAGACCTTCTTCTTGCCAGGCCATGAAATAGAGATCAATGGAGATCATACCTCAGTTCCAACAAAAACCCTTTGACACCTTTAGGCATCTCTGAAGAATCTCAAAAGATAAAAAACCTCACAAAACCAAAAAAAAACCCAAAAAACCACAACACCAAAAAAATCCAAAACCCTAAACCAAAACTCAAAACCAAAACCATGCTACTTTCAATAAAAAAAAAAAAAAAAAGGGGGATTCTCTGGTGGTCTATCCAAGAAAGGCAGATTCCAGATAATAAACTAAAAGATGCTGTCTGATCAAAATGACTTATCTGTGTAGTCAGACATCTTAATAAATACAAGTACTGGTAATATTCATGCCATGCCATCAAACAGCAGATTACAGCTTCCCCAGACAAAACAAAAATCCTGAAACGTATCTGCTTTGCTATGGAAACAACTTGGTGCTACATACAGTATTCATTAGAAGGATGAGTGCTATTAGAGCTACAATACTGTACTCCAAATAAGTTCCTGCTATTAATAGCATACTGATATACACATTTATGTAAGAGTATGTCTTCCTTCTAATTATTTCCCAAGCTAGACTTCAACTATGAAATCAATCAGGCTCAACAGGAGGGGGTTTTTTTTGTTTGTTTAAAATTTTGTCAGGGCTATGATCTACGAAGACAAATTCTGTTTGGCCTGTGAAGCACTGGCAATTTTACTTTAAAGAACATTTATGCTCACAGACTGCAAACAAATAGCAGAATTAATGACTGAAGTCCAAACATGCCCTGAAACAGGTAGAGTTTTGGTTTTTTTCAACATCTGACTAATTTTATCAAAACACTCAGCTATTGGAACAGTTTTACCTGTCAGGCTGCTGCTTTCAGCCTTATTGAGTAAGCTCAGGTACAGCAAAACTTTGGATATTTTTACTTCTGTGCTTCCCCATTTTAGGAAACTTTGGAGTTTTCAATGCCTCTCTTTCCTACAGTTTTTATTTCTGGCTCCCCCACTATTTTTGGGGGAGGTGATGGCTTTGCTGCTTTGGAAGTTAAGCACTACACCCCAGGCCACTACTGCAAGGCAGCACAGACCTGACATCTTCACAACCCTTGCCTTCCACCAGCTTCTCTATCAGTATGAATTTAGTAAGTTTTTTGTAAGCTATTCTGGAACACAGCATCCAAAAATGCTCTGGCTGGCTTTACCCCTCACCTACCTATTTGGTAACTCTAATGTGAAAAAAGACAACTTCATATTATCCAGAGCACTGGCACAGATTTTTAGAGAAGTATGGAATCAAGTGTAATTTAATTCATCCTTATAGATCTTTCTCCTTCATGTGTCCATCATAAAAATAAAAAAAAAATAAAAAAATAGGAGAAAAGACATATTAATACTAAAGCATGCTAGTAGGATTTAGCAATGAAACACCTACCAACATACTAAAAAATGGGTATGGTACTACTGAAAGCCCAAGCTGACAGGTGGTTTCTGTGCAAATGAAATAAATTTATCACTTGGCAAGACAGAAAAAGAGTTACACCAAACGTAGCACAATCAGTCACTTATAAAAGTGCAGGATTATCATATTCCCACAAATGCTTGTCTTAATTACACATGCTACCAAAAATGTAACTTTGAAAATAGTTGGGTTTTTTTTTCCTCTAATGATAGCAAACTCAAAGAAGTAAAACAATGCTAGAATTAAACTGATCTACATTTAAATAAGTCTTTACCTTGTCCTTAAAAATATACTTGTTATTTGATGGGAAAGTATAGAAATGACAGTGTATTGCCATCTTGAGGCTTGCTAGCAGAACAGCATGTCCAAAACAAAATACATTTGTTACCAGGCACAACAGTAATTTAACCAGGCGTGCCAAAGCCAATATAAAACACACAGCATTAACACCGTATGTTTTATCTTTTTTTTTTTTATGCCAGGGCCTCTGTAGTTCCTTTTCTGGACTGGATATACCTTTAAAGAGGGAAACCCCTTAAGAGTAGAACTAAAAAGAAAAAATAAAAGCTATTTAACACCTTAGATCCCGTCAGAAGGAGAATCAAGAATTTTTACCTCATTCTTACAAGAAAAATTGGCAGTTAAAGCTTAATTATTAACACAGATTGCCCAGATCCTTTGAAATCACTACCCAAGTTTAGTTCGGCACCAAAGACTGAGTCAATTTAAGAAACAAGTTACATTGAAAGATTACCCAGAATTACTGTATGTGATATTACAGAAATATAGGTACACAATTAGAAACATAGCATTTCTTAATACAGATATGGTTATAACATAGAGGTGTCCATAATGAAAACGGCATGCTTTCCAAACATAAGACATTTTGGTGCTGGTTTAAAGGGGTAAGAATCACCAAACTACGTTCAAAGTTAATAGCTATTTAAACTGTCCTTGCAAGAACCTGCCTTGAAACACATCTCCATATCACAAACCTCTGCGATACCCTGGCACCCTGCTCAAATAAAACCTACAAATGCCAAATACATAACCACTCTAATGTTCTAGCCTTTTTTTTTTCTTTTCTTTTCTTTTTTTTAAATTAACACCTACTTCAGAAAAGATCACTTGGAAAACACATCTCTTGATATTCCCAGCCCTGAAATGGCACAGAATATGCTCTGTTGAATTTACAGTCACATGGGGAGTGCCAAGTTGAACGAAACTGAGGTGTATACATATATATTCGATTGGTATATATGCTTTTAACTGAGGTCAGAGACATCTGATTTTGCTTGCTTGTGAAACGAATTACATCTGTGAGGCTACTTACAAAGGGCTACTGGTTTGCTAAAGCTGCTCAAGGTGTTTTTCCTCTTCTTTTTTCTAAACAAACTGCCCCGTACTCAAAACACACAAACAGCCGTTTGAAGGCTGCTGTTTTCACACCCATGGCGAAGTACATTTTTCTGAGCTATCCAAAGGTCTTTAAGTGAACAAGGAAAAGCCTTGCAGAAAGTTACCTGCTTGGTTTGCAGGCTGCCAGCTTGAGTACTTGGCAGCGCCCGGGGCTCCCGTTGGCTTGAGGGCTGCAGCAGATGCAGTGCTGGCGGGAGCAGGTCTCACGTCGGCATTTTCTTGGCGGGCGGGCATGCTCCTCGCCGAGGCGGCTGTAAAGGCAGCGGACTGGGTAGCCTCCAGGGAATCGCTGTTCAGAAGCAAGGGAGGAAAAATTAAAATGCATTTCTTGCTAGGACAAGAGCATTTGTGAAACGGAGACGTGGAGCAACATCCCCACACCCTGGTGCAACAGAGCAGCACCCACTACTCTGTCACCACCGATGCTGGGGCGACCACCACAGGACAATGCTGTGGAAGTTATATTTTCAAGCTGTCTGTTAAAAAAATGGACACAATTTCTGCCAGAAGTCAGTATAGGCATCTAAATCCCTTCACAAATTCCATTTAAAATAATTGTTGGCGGGATATAGGTTAAAGCAGAACCCTTACTATCAATTTGGTACACTCCCAGACTTTTTCAATACTTTTTTTTTCTTTCTTGGACAGTAGGGAAATAGTCATATATTCAGATTATACTTGTAGACCTTAATAAAACCCATCAATCTAAAAGTGACTTAATTATATGCAATTTTCTTCTGTGGGCCACTGCTCCCCCAGACGATTAAGTATTTTAAGAGAGCTGTAAGTTTCTTCATTCGTTAAACAACATGCACAATATTTTATATTGCCTCTTTAGAGCAGTTTACAGCTGCTTTTATATTTTAAGGGTTAGCAGAACTCTTTTAGCTACTTAAAAACATGCATGATGAAAACTACACTTAATCACAATTCACGTAGAGTGTAAGTAGCCACTAATTACATTGCCAGCAAGAAAATTTTTCATTTCTTATTTCCAGAGGCTGTTCAAGAAGGAGAAAGTTATTATAACAAAATTTTTATGCAGTGTAACAGTATTTGTATAATAGATACTTGCCTTTGAGAAGCTGAAAACAAGTATTTTCATTAAAAAAAAAAAATCTTTAAAGTAGAGAGTAATTGCTAATGAGAGTCATTTGCAAACTAAGAGGATCACAAAACCAGGAAATGAACTCAACAACATTGCAAAATACAGCCAAAACAATGCCAAATACATATTTTGTGCAATCTGGAAACCCATCAGTTAGCACATTAGAAGCCTTGTGTTCTTTCCTCTATTGAAGAGAAACAAATTTACAGCACATGTGTATTGTGCATGTTTCACTGGGGTCATTCACACAATTATAGATTGTGCCAGCTTCATAAAGTAAAAATCCTTGAGCTATTTTCACTTTATAAGTATCGCACCTACACAATATTGCTTTGGCCATACGACATGCAAGGACTTGAATACACCATGAGGCCAAAAGGCAAGTTCATAACCTCGTTTTTTTTGTCTTTAGATTTACAGGGTTAATAATTGAAGTATTTAGAATCTTCTTCTGGTTAAGGGGTAAAAGATCCCCAGTTTAGAGAATACATCTGAATGATCAGTTTAATGAGTAACAGCTATTGCATTTGTAGGCTTTTGATAAGAGCGGTAGCCGTGCCGAACTGACACTGATGGATTTGCTATATGCAGCGTGCACAAGCCCAGTGAAGCACAACGCGAGACCTTGCATTCTGTTCCGTTCAAATGTTAAAAGATATTTAAAGACATTTGTATAGCACAAATGGAGGCATTTAAGGTACACGTTAAGACTCCTTAAATGCTTAGGATACAAATCTTTTTAACAACAGCTTTTGGAACAGCAGGGATGTACTGCATAAAAGCACTGTTGCAGACTGAAAGAAAAAGGGTAGGAAGCCATCCTCTGACAGTAAGTAGCAGGCTCACTAGTTGAAGACAAGGTAGTTTAGGACTGGCTTCCACTATGAAAAAAGCGTGTGTCTGCAACTTCAGTGTAACAGAAATCTCCTTCTATACTGCTGAGTACATTTGACACGTAGCCCATCAAACCCACTCCAGGCCAGAGCCCCATTACAACCTTAAGAATTCTCAAAACACTGTCGGTCCTAAAAAAAGGAAATTTCCTCCTCCTCCATCCAAAAGACTCATCACCACTTGTCAAATGGCTTTTCAAATCTAGCACCTCTTTACTGCCTTTGTCTGGATCATATAAATCATAAATCATATAAATCATCTGTCATAAGAAAATCTTGCTGAGCCAGCAGCTGTCTTTCAACAGAAGAGGCTACTTAACAAGCAAAAAAGGATGCAAGACAAGCAAAAAGGGTATCGTGCAAGCAGAAGAAGGATAGAAAACTGTAGAAATGGCTGAGGCCAGCTGCTGGCAAACTGCAGCCTTTTAGTAGGTATAGGTGAGGAAGCACACGGACACTAGCCACGAGGCTAGCTGTAATGTCGATTTGTACTTCCACCGTTGCCATGTTCGTGGTTTAATGCTGAGGCTTGTGCATGACATGGTACGCTAGTTCCTGAAGCAACAGATTATTGGAGACACTTAGGTTTTCATTTAGAAAATGAAAGGTCTGGAAGGGTGAATCCTAATGACCCCAAACTAAAAGACAATGATAAACCCAGCCATAAAACCACCTGTGATTTTTGACCACCTCTGGCGGTTCATGTGCCAGGAGCCTATCCTACAGAGAAGCTTTCCAAGGGAAAAGCCTGGAGCCATCAATCTGACAGAGGGGATTGTGTTGGCCTCAAGGCAAAACTTCTGACAGGACTTGGACACCCTTTGTACTTTGTGCCTGGTTCTTTCAAGCAAGAGTTGAACCAACTCAAGTTCACACTACAGCGTGTTAATTTAACAGGCAGGCTGCTACTGCAGCTTGGCAAGTCTCTCCAGTGGGATATTGCCCACCTATGGTGGCCTGCAGGAAACAGCGCACGCACGGGTTTTCCTGTATTACAGCCTCTAATCACACAGTTGCCTGGGAGCACACGTGCAGAGGTTCTCCACAGAGAGAAAAATAGATCCATCTTTGTCTCACTTTCAAAGAAGCGCTGCACCGTGGAGATGTTCAGCCTTTTAAGTGCTAAACTTCTTCAAATTCGTGCTTCAAAATTACTTCCTCAACATTTTACTTTACGTTCTTCTACACACTCAAACTCCAGTTATTTTTAATCCATCTTTATAAATATAGCTATGTATCTTTTCAGAAGCACACTTACCTTCTACGAAGTGGCTGTACAATACACACAATCAGGCCCACTAGTATTTTGTAACTCACTAGGATATTCTACAATGACTACCCAAGACTTGTTACCTAGAACATACATGGTTGAAGAGACAAAAATATACACAGAAATTCAAGAAAATGAACCGGTTATGGAAGAGAGCTCCCATCTGCCATTCGGTGTCATCAACAGAAAACTGAAGGAGGAATGATAAACCGTGTATTTACCAAGTTCCACACGAGTGGCTTTCTCAGACTTCCTAGATGACACTCATAGGTCAGCTTCAGGTCAAGCACATTTTGATGTCAAACCACTTGTACTGTTATTAATGACAAGCCTACCTTCTAACTCTAGCTTTAACCTTTTAACTCTGTTTCAGAACTCTTAAATGCTTCCTCCTCCACCTGATGAATACTTACAGCAAAAATGAAAGTTTTCCATGATGAAAACTGATACAACCAAGAGTCACATCCATTTTAAGAAAGACTATGTTGCTTGCAACACATGAATGCTCTGCTGTCAAGCTTTGGGCAAGGGATTTTTACACTGCAAGAATGAAGGAACAGTGGAACATGAGCCTGACTGACTCAAGAGTCTCGTGTCCTGAAAACCCATGATGTGTTTAATTAATAGGTTATGAGAAGATTAATCAAAATAATCCTTCAAGTGGGTTGCAAGAGAAACATTGCAAAAGCAACCCCCCCAAAAAAAAGTCCAGCAAAGAAGCAACCTGAAGACACCTCTCTATCTTTGACATAGACTAGCTCGTACAGGAAACACTCTCCTAAATTTTCTTGGAGAACAATTCCTACTGCACAATCCAGCCCTCTTCTGTCAGAATAAGGGCATGTATGGAAAAGAACGAACTTTTGGGGCGGGGGAGGGAGAGGGGGCAGTCTGAGACCTGGGGACAAACATTGGGCTCTAGTCCCAGCGTAAACTTTATCCAGAGCTCCCAACAGGCTCCTCAGACTTACCCCCTCCTGATCAACAAAAGCACTGTGGAAATGGGCAAAACAGACTAAAAAACCAGCAGTAACTCCTCTGCTATTCCTCCTCATCTTCCTCCCCAAATACCACTGCGTTACACTGTGTTTTTTGGTAGGAGGACAGGGAGAAAAAGACATTTGCCAGATGACTGTCGCATCACTGAATGTGGTCCTGAGAGCTTCTTGGATGCTAAAAGGGGCGATGGGGAAGGAACCTGCAGGGGAGGAAGCGGGTCCAGATCACATGTGAAACAAACACCAGTTTTTCAGAGACTACTCTGGGATACCACACCCCCTTCCTTCCCCAAATCAGGCGCATCAAGACAAGGCTGGACACATTTCAGCTGCATTTCAAGAAAATTGCACTGGAAAAGCTTTCTGAATGTATTTAGAGGTTTTGATGCCCTCCCCAAAATCCCAGAGAAGAAAAACACATGGTCTGGGGCCATAGGTGCCTAACCCCCCCTCCATCCTTCCATGGAAACTCCTATATAATGCTGCCTAGAATTTCTTCACACATACTTTAGAGAAGATAACTATGTGTCATGTTGTTATGAGCCAAAAGAGCAGCTATGGTCCTAACTGAAAATGAAATGGAGCTTGTCGTCATGTAACTTCTAATACCACTAAAATGGTAACAAGGGCCAAGTCTCTCAGACTTTCCCAAGCAGGTTCAAGAGGTCCGGGTGGACTTTTTCCTCAAGCAAGCCCAAGATACCAGGTTATCCATCTGTAAACATCATCACTTGAGCCCTGAGCTCAGTCTGGTACATCAGTATTTTCCTAATAGTTCTCTGGATTACAAATGATACTTTAACTCCCACTTCTTGTCCAGAATGACTGCATGAGTCAGGAACAAGTCCCCTGTGGTCTGAGGAAGCTTGCTGACAGGAGAGGTCATGCAGTATCTACGAGACAGTCTGTAAATGCTTTCTTCAGATGGCCAGGAATTCTGTGAGGTTATTTTCCCTTAAGAACACTAAATCTTTAAAGACCAAAACAAGACAAAACAAAAAGAAAAGATGTGAGCGAATC